TACAAATAAACAAACTAATATAATAGATTAATATCAGTAGTTTCGACCACAAGAGTTTTAAGTGGGATATATTCTACTTTATGAGTTCTAATTGAGTCTTCTGATGCCTTGTTCAATTTCAAATCAATCTTCTTCTTTGCAAACAGAGAATCAATCAATTGAAGATTTTTCAAGTTGCTTGCTTATTTTAGATTTTTATTGCAAAAAGTTATTTGATTTCTAATAATATTCCTTCGTGTCTTTCATTTCTAAGAATTACCTTGAGTATTGGATATATACGAAGAAAACCAATTATTCTTAACAAATTAACTTAGTTCTTGATTTTACATTAATAAAAATAAAATGTTTTAAGCAGAGAAAGGTGCTAATGCTATCCCTGGATACACAGGGTAATGATTCTTATTTATTATGATTAGATTTATACCTAGTCAAGACTATGATCAAGATTTATTACAAATTTAAGGCAATAGAAATCACATTCCAAGTATTTAGATTATGATTAATCTCCAGACTACGCAGGGTTTGTTCCAGGCATTAAGTCAGAAAACCTATTCGGAAAGACTTTCGGAAAAATTACTTTACTTTCCAGCACTCATGAACATCATAGAGGGTATAATCCCAATAATTAATTCAAGATCTGATTTACCTGCAGACATTAGGTACAAAAGCGAAGTGAAAGAGGCTTATTGTGATCAACGAGACTAAAGGGGAAGAGATATTAATCTCTATGGCAAATTAGACTCAGAAACATCAGTAACTGTTATATATGCTATTTTCCTAGAAAGCTCTTGCCTATACTCTGTCCAATCTGACCCACTTTGAATAAACTAACACTCTTCCTAAAAGAAGTAATTAGCTCTTTTTATATTCAAAGGTGACTCTAGGGAGAGACAGAGTAATTTAACCTATGAAGAAGCTTTACAAAAATTAAAATGATTATTAATAATAGATAATTATATATGTTAGATTGTTAAGATTATCTATTAACTTTAACTACTCAAAGAAATTCTAACTTATACTTATAATCTAAGTTTATATTTTATCAAATTATTAATTTTTTTTAGGTTCTATTCGATTTTTATTAGTCTTTTGTATTGCCTCATAAAGAGATTACTAATCAGATCATCAAGCTATCATTGAGATTTATTTAGAATTTTAAGTATTTATACAAAATAAAAAATTACCTTATATATTATAATAAGAGGTTTGGCTATTAAATGCTTTAATATTTTCCTAATAAAAGATTCACATCTTTTAATATTTAATCATCAATAGCTATTATTCAATCGTCATTCTGTATTTTAAGATACTTTTTATATTTTATTTATAATTTTCTAGCTATGAGTTCGTCTGAAAAAAAAACAATAAGAATCCTTTCTGTATTACCTTTGAATAGTCGGAATTAAGATCCATATCAAATTTAACCAGACCAAAAATAAAATGATTTAGGCTTTCCATAATAGAAAATATTTAGAAACAGCTCAAATTACGAATAGGGAACTAGATAAACTTTACTCCCTCACAATAAAATTCCATCTAATGAGTTTGGATTATAATCATCATAGCATATTTAATAGAATCGTGTTAATTCATTAATGGTTGATAAAAGCTAATAAAATACCTCTCAACGAAAAGTCCCTAAAAAGATTATATGTATCCCAAATCCTCAAAAAAATTTAAGGATTAAAGTAATTAAATCAGAGGACACGTCTAAAATGCCAATTTCAATGAGTTCTAATGAATAATATTCGTAACCAAAGTATCAAGATAATCATAGATAACTATATATGGCACAAATTGATCCACATTCGCAAAATAGAACCCAGCAACCAAATAATTAATCAAGACATATTATTGAAAAATAAATATATTAGTAATATTTTGAGTAGAACACATAATAGCACTAATAGAAATAACACTTTTAATAATAGTAATAATCATCAAAGTAACAATAAACATAATAATAATATGATTAAGAGTAATTAATCTAAATCTTAAAGTTATAATAATAGAAAAAATTATTATAAAAATAGTAATAGGAATAGGAAGAGGAAAGCCTATAATAATTGTAATCAAACAAATACTTTTTATAGTCATAATAATAGTAATGGTAACAATAATAATAGTAATGGTAACAATAACAATAATAATAGTAATGGTAATAATAATAATAATAATAATAATAATAATAATAATAATAATAATAATAATAATCAGATCAAGAAGAAGAACAAATTCTAGCAAACACTCTGTTTCAGACTGTTTAACTAACTTGTTTCAAATGTAAAACATAAATAAGTAAAAATATATATTCCTTGAAATGTTAACATTTTTATCACTATGATTGTTTTCTTGAGTTGGTAGAAAATTAAATTTTAATGAATAACAATAGACCAAATATTTCGTGTTTGTGTAATACCAAAATTAGTGCTTCTATATTGAAAGGTTTAGGTGCAAAGAAGGGTGAATTAGAAGAAAATCTTTTCAAAAAATAATTAAGAATTTTAAAAACTAATTATTAATAAAAAATTATTTCCTGCAATTACTGTGATTATTTTTGTATCAAAGATTAAAAATTGAAAAATAGTATGGTTTGTTAAAATGATCATGAAATTTATAAGAAATCTTATTACAAAAATTGAAAAATCAAAATCTTTATATTATATTATTGATGTTTTTTGTTTCTTGAGTAATCTACCTATATTATATTATCATAGATAAAAATGGAATTTATTTTTTATTTTATCTAGAATAATCATTTAAAAAAATTAAAAATCTTAAAAATTAAAACAAAAATATTTTGATATTTTGATATAATTAAGTATAGATAATTTGATGTATCAATTAAATAAAATCAAGATATACTTAATAATAAAAACTAAGACGAAAATGTAATATAGGATCTTTGATTGTTAATTCTTAGGTTAAAACTGAAAAAAAAGTTTATGATAAGAACTTATTGATTAAAATAGTTAAATATCATATATAATTCAACTTATATTAAATTTATTATATTATCCAATAAAGTGACTTAATTAGCATTCAGTAGTTGACAAATCTGAATCAGAAAATGATTAGATATAATCTATAAATAAATAAAAATAAGTTAATAATAATTGGTAGAATTAATATATATTCTTGCTAATAATGAATTTTAAGTAGATAATTTCTTCACTTTATTTTAGTTTACTACTTGTTTTGAAAACAATTAGAAATTTCAGAAATTTTCAAATATTTGAAAAATTTTTACAATCCTATAAATATATAAATTATATCCAATTTTTCTACATCTCCAAAGGTTGGATTAGATTGATATTAAATTAAATATGATTATGAAATTCTATTAAAATAAAAAGATCATTTAAAAGTAAAAGGAAAGCACTTTTAAGGGGTCAATTCATATGTATTTATTCTCCAATGAAAGTCTCTAAGTGTAAGTGACAAATTATCACTTCTTTAAATTCAATTACAAGTTAAAAAGAAAAGATTTTTGCTTAATTAATTCATAGAGTTGCATTTAGAGCTTTTAATTTAACTAGCAATTCTATCAATTCACCAATTACTATATTAATTGGAATAAGCCTACACTTATAAAAAATACATAAAGATTTGTTATAATAATTCTTAGCCTAATTTTATATGAATTTAAATCATAATTATCACAAGGAATATTTGTGAAAAGAACTAACATATAAGGATTCAAAAAATATGAAATTGTTTAGTTAACTTAATTCATGACTAAGAAAACAATATATAGATTAATTAAATGAGAATCTAAGGGCAATTATAAGAGAGATCAAATTAACTTCTAATTATCTTAATTAATAAAGAGATCTAAATAATTTTCATTCCCTAAGTGCAATAAAAGAACTTGGCTATTTATGATTATCTACTTAGACTTTAAAATTATAGTAAGCGGATAATCTTTCTGGTAGTCATGTTTAAGATAAGTTTATTCTACAAAACAGCTAGGTGGAAAATGATTATTATAATTAATTTTTATATGAATGATAGTGGTTTGGGAATTTACGGAACCAGTTATAAAACTATGATATAGACAACAAGGGAGAATACCATCTAGGATCATTTATATCTCCAAACTTCTTATCATAATAAAAAATCTGTTAGAATCAAGACCAAAACAGTTAATGACTCTATTTTTAATGGACTTAGAATAGGTACAACAACGCTTCAATCCCATAGATCGAGATATCAATCTACTCAACAGGAATCAAGGTAATTAAGTTCTGCAGGCTATCAATCTCAGCAGTACAAGGGATGTAAAAACTATAAGTGTTTAAAAACTATTTCAGATTTGTAAGAGGCCTAAGAAGAGAATCTGTAAACCATTAAGGCATTGACACAGGAGATAGATAAATTAAGGAAGGAGTTACAATCAAATACTAAATAGATTATCAATGAAGACAAATTAAAAGAACGGTTAGTTTCAGCGACAGGCCGAGTCTAAGTCTATAAATCATTAGGCTTGTTTGGATAGAGTATAGATAGTAACTAGATGGCGAACATTTCCAAAACTGATTCAATTGTTTTGAATAGAACGATTTCGTAATTTCACAAAGGAGAAAATATTAATATTTCACAATTGTTAAATAATTAATAGAGTGCTGAATAGGAAACAATAAAGTTATTAGAAATATATCATAAGTCTCAAATCTAAAATTATTCCTATCATTCTTATAAGGGTAATCAAAACTAAATCCCATATATCAAATGCGATAAATGTGATTCCATTAAGAACCTGCACATCGTCCGATTAGAATGTAAGCATCAATATCACATAAATTGTTTCATTGAACACATCAGATTTTAATTGTCAAAACAATAGGACAGTTTTAATATAGTTGGAACTCTACAGTGCCATTGCAATGCAAATATTCATTTGAACTAGATTAAATTGTTAAATCAACCGGAGTTCTCAATTATATACCAAATTATTGCAAACTTTTAACTTTTTCTATTAGCAAAGAGCCATTATTTAGCCAATAATTAGAATCAGAAGTAGAGCATCTAAAAGTGCATCAAAGAACATTGCTACTTCATTATCATAGGGGAGGAAGATAAGATATCATATTGTCCATTGTGTTGTGAATTTAATTTATTTGTGTAAATTAAATTTATTTGATTTATTATAACAATGAAAAAAAATAAATAGTATAAGTAATAATTACCAATTATTATCTAAAAGTAAGAAGACCATCTGAGAGAGAGTAAGTATAAATAACAATATAGGAAAGCTAAAGGAAGTTATATGTATGATCATTCATTATCAGTCGAAAGAGGACGCTAATATCAAAGTAAAAATAAAATCTCGATAAGAAGTTCAAGTAACAGATAAAAGCAGTAGAATGGCGAATAAACATTTTTATGTGGTTTGATCCCATCATCAAAGAATATCAAATACTAAAAATCTAAGTTCACTCTTAATACTGAAGAAATTAATAAACATAATCAAAAATTATAGGTTGATGTTTAATTGCTCTATCAACTTATCATCCAGGATTAATTTAAGTTAAATAAATACTAAATTCCCAAACAAATACTTACAAAGTTGAATCAATCTAAATTAATTGACTCCATCTAGAAAGACCATAATAATCTTTCCTACAATTAATAGAACTTAGAACATTGTTAATTGTGTACGAGATCATGCTATGGAAAAATAGTTCAAACTAATTGCTTACACTTTTATCATTATGATTGCTTTCAATCATATTTGGAATTGTGTGTAAAAAAAGGATACCCTCAAATCTATTGCCATTGCAAAGCCAAGATAGCACAATAAATAGTTCTTCATAATACAAACCAATTAATAACCCATCGATATTTTTAGAATCAATACCAAAAGATTTAAATCAAGTATTTTAAATACCATAATTTTGAAAAATGTGTAAATTCATTTTGTAATTTCTTTTGGATTAAAACAAATCAAAGTTCTAAAAGGAAAACATCTATTTTATAATATTGTCCTGTTTGCTTAAACAAAAATTTTGAAATAGGCATACAAATGGAATAGATATTTTAAAAATTTTGATTTATATTTATTTTGTAAACATTAATCAAATAATTATTATCTAAATTAATTTAAGAGTAGTCTAAGCAAGTCAAATTATTTATGATATTTTAAGCATCAAATAGTTTAAATATGTATCAACAAAATAATTTATTATAAATTAGTGATACTTTATATTATAATTATCTAAATTAGAGTTATATCAGAAGTATTAAATGTTTAATCTGATCAAATTTAATATCAAGAATTCTTCTAGTTTTCCTTACTCTTGAAAATATAATTTCCTGAAGAATAGAATTATAGGATTCCATTAATCAATAATCAAATAATAATAATAATAATAATTAAGTTTAAAACATAAATATTAAGTAATAATAATGAAGTTACAATTTTATAATAAGCATCAAAAATGAAGTATGTTTCAGAGACAGCAGGAGAATAACGAGGAACTCATTTTTCTTTTTATCAGGTTTGTGATTTCTGGATTTTAACTAATCTTGAGAGCTGATCTCAATTCGGCATCAGTATATTTTATTTGATTTAAAAGTAATTTCACACATTCATAATGATGCCATCTGACAGATACATCTAATGGACTTTCTGACAGATCATCATAGACTTTGCTTTTGATATGCGCATTGCAATCAAGTGAGAGCAAAAATTTAACAACTTTATCATTGCCATTTTTGCAAGCTATATATAATGAATTTTATCCATATTGATTAAATTAATTAATGATGTGATTTGGGTCTTAGGGATTAGTGAGATTTCTAAGTAATAATATTTTAAGTTATACCTTTTTGGATCCCTCTACAATAATTTGATCATTTATTGGATGTCTTCATACGAGCCTCTCATTGAATGTTGAGTTAAATGGAAAACTAATTTAAATTGATTGAGCATTTCGATGACTTAAAATTCCTTGGATTCTTAGATTGGATGAACTTTATGAATGTTCTTTGTAGTTTAACAAGGGCTTGGATTAAATTTTTCATAAAATTATTCCTAATACCTATAAATAGTACTGAAGATGTAATTTATTCAACAACATTTTGCTATAATCTTCGTATGCCTAAGACTAAGTTGCCAGCTGCTTTGAATTTGCATGATTTTCGAGGGGATTGCATTACATAATTTAAGTTATTGATTTCATAATTATGTTCTTCTTGTGGTGGAGTGAATGGTCGATTATCGTCTTCATTTTGCAATAATTCATTATTTGATCCGAGTTTAATAAAATTATTGGTTGCATAGTTGGAGTTCATAAAAGTTAGAGCTTATTTGATAGTTATTTTGAATACATTATTGATTGAATTAGATGATATTATCAACATTAATTTAGAATTCTGATCCCGTTTACTATGTGTGATAAGAGTGAGCATACTTATTAGATAATGAGAGGGATGGCTAGGTTGGGTTCATGTTTCCCTGTGTCAATTTATGAGATGGTGTTGAATTTGTCGGAGCCAACCTTATCGATTCCTAAACTGAAAGTGCGAGCATGATTATTACAAATTGGGTCATTCTAGGAATAGAGACAAAGAATTTACTTCTGATGAATATTGTCTAATAAAAACTTCTGATTGAGGTAGAATGGGTAATTCAGTTTTGAGGTGGAAGTGGGATCCAAAATTATTATTCATAAATAAATAAAATCAAAATTTTTTGTCATTTTGTAATATTTTATTCATTGTTCGAAATTTAACCTCCAGTCATTATTGGATGAACCTCATCATATTGGAAAGATATCTTTTCTCTCTAATTATGCAACAACAACAATTTGGTGTCTCTTGAACTCTGAGGTTAATCGCTTTGTTGTTTGCCCAGTTAAGAAATAACAAAATCTGCCACCTCCTTCATGACATCATTTGGCCTTTTTGAATTGTGATGCCCATCAAATGATTTGAGTAATTTGGTTCCTTTGAAAAAGCAATGCAATTATTTGGCATGTTTTGAGGGGACCAATTAATCTTGATTGGCACTCAAAAATGCAATGGACACTTAAGATGAAAGATCTAATGCTTGTAAAAACATATATATTTACTTCCAACTATTTGAAGGACATTGAGGTCATCCACATTAAAGTTTGCTTCCTTTCTAATTTTCGATTTCACAAAACAAAAAAAACAATCAAAACAACATCCAGGCACTCCATAACCAGAAGTTGCAATTTCTTTACACAAAAGAGTCAAATTAGAAAAGGGACTGTCACAAACCAGGACCTTAATATCTTCGTTCTAACTGGCACTGAGGATGGCTGTTACGGAACCCATTGATCTCCCCCATAACCCGATTTAAGTTATGTAAGGCTCTATTATTAAAGTTGCATCTTACTTTATGATCTCTCAGATAATCAATTAAACTCTGCACATCTTGGGATTCGTAATAACCAAGAGAAATGTAAACGCCTTCAGAATGTCCAGAACCTGGATTAATGAGCAATGGCTTACCTGATAAATCTATTCCGCAAACGGCTATGTTATAAGGGATCAAGTATTCCAAGATTGTCAATGCTTCAACTCGGCTGCTAGAGTTTCCATGCAGATAAATCATACAAGAGTGTTACCGATCTTGAACTCTCACTGGTTCAAAGAGACTGGTTATATTGGTTTAGAGTGTACCTACATTATAATGTAAGTTTTCTTTTATTCACAATTTCAAAATCTGTTCGTTTCGTAACTGTATCGACAATCATTGTGATTTGATTGCCTAAATCTTTTAATTAATAATAGTGTCTTGGAGGTCGAATGATTGGTTTCCATAGTTTTTCAGTACAGGAGTATGACATTAAAATTTAAAATCAATATATTATATATATATTACAATATCCCTAGCGACTTTAACTTTATAAAAATTCCAATTTATTGAGATACTAGATAATGCATCAAAATAGTCAATATCTAAATTGAATCATAAATAATCATTTTGTTGATATCGTATAATTTGAATACTCATCTATGACACTATTAAATGCATTTTAAGTGTTTGTGAAGATTTATGCAGCTGAATATTATCTGAACTTTGACATACGAATTCCTATTTGTTATATAATCAATATAAATACCATTGCTAGTGAAATATTACCCATTAGCATCAGTTCCTAAGAAACTCACATATACCTTGGGATCACAAGCCCCTCCACTACAAGAAGTGACAAAATCATTGTTTTCTGAGACACTTTATCCTGTAGTTGTTGTGATTGAATTTTCCTTGCATTAACTACCATCAAAACAGACGTTATCCCAAAAAACATCAATGACACTGCCTTGGATCATTTGAACAACAATGGATTAAATTGGAAATGCACCTCCAGACTATGTGTAGGGGGTTCCATAAACAGTGGAAATGCTGCCAGAATTAGCCCATAAATTGCTCTGCTTACTGGAGAGAGTCTGATAGGCTCCAGAAACCAGGAGTGCAGTATATTAGTCAACTTTTAATTAATACACTTATCTGTATTGTTAATTATCAGCGGTTTGGAAGAATAAACAAAGGACGATATGGTCACCCTAAATAAAATTGCTGATTGTACCTTCTTGTATCCGGAGTTGAAATCTGAAGTTTGGCACACTTGAGTTTGGGATAATACTATTGGAAATAATATAAATAATAACATATTAATTAATATATATACAAAAGACCATTAATAACGAGAGCATATCAATAGGGGATTTTTAGATATAATAATATTTTATTCTAATTTGATTGAGTAATAATATAGTTGGATTGACTGTTATTATTAATATAAAATAAATGTTTAAGAAGGGAACGAATATCCGTGATCTATTTGCTGAGAGTGAGAAACCAATCCAGATAATCTTGAAGCGAAGAGCATCTTAAGACAGTAGATTAGATTCTGATATCCTAGTGCCTCCCTTGGTGAGTGTGTCACCGAAATTGATGGCATAACCCAAATTCAGTGTCCATGTTTCTTAGGCACAAATTCACAGTCCAGAAAGGAAGACTTATTATTTGGGAGAGTTGAAGACGACAAAGAGGAAACCTTTGCCACACAGCAATAGCATAACGATTAAGGTAGCAGTTTTTGAGGATTTAGTTTAAGAATACGAATTTGAGTACAACGCTGACGACTAATCAGTATAACACTTATGTTGGGAAGATAAATTACACGTTAAAATTTGTAATAGGATGGGGAGGATTTGGAAAAGTGTGGAAAGTTGAACACAAACGATCCAGATAAATCTTCGCTATGAAAGAATTATAAAAAGCCAAGTAAATAAAATTGAGGACTTAGAATTTTAGGCAAGAACTCAGTAAAATCTGTGTTAAATGAAAAGAATCTACTCTCCAAGTTGAAACATCCATTTATAGTAAATATAGTGGCTGCATTTCAAGATAGAGAAACATTATATTTGGTAATGGATTACTTGTCAGGAGGAGATCTTAGATTCCATTTGATATTAAATAAACAATTTAAGGAGGACCAAATAAGTAACCAATATTATATATAAAAAAACTAAGAATTTTTTATAGGTTGTTTGATATTGGGGTTAGAGTATATGCATACCAATTAGATCATCCATAGAGATTTGAAACCAGAAAATCTTGTGTTTGATTAACAGGGTTACCTGAGAATAACAGATTTAGGCATTGCCCGATTGCATAAATTGGACAATCACAATGAGACGAGTGGCACTCCTGGTTACATGGCACCTGAAGTCTTGTTGCGGTAGAATCACTCTTATGGTGTTGATTATTTTGCCTTGGGAGTGATGACATATGAATTGATCACTGGCAAAAGACCTTATACAGGAAGATCTCGTAAGGAAGTAAGAGATGAAATACTTGGACGACAAGTCTTACTCAGTCAAAAGGAATGTCCCAATTATTCAGCATCCATAATTGATTTTACCAACAAATTGATACAGAGGAAATAATCTTTGAGGTTGGGAATCGGAGGGATATCTCAATTGAAGGATCATCCATGGTTTAATGGGTTTGATTGGGTGAGTTTGTATAGCAAAAAGATGGCTGCTCCATATTAACCAAAATGCGAAGAGTACAACAGGAAATTGCAATAAGGACATTAGGAATCAGACAAAACTTTGATTGAGGAATTTACAAAATAATTGAGGGTTAAGGAAGTGTAGTAATAATTTGATGGATACACATATATTCATTCCTAGTGATTCAATTTTTATCTTTTTAATTTTAAATTTATTAATATCGGATTAAACAAAATAAATCCAAATTCATTCAATCCTCCAAATATAATCAACTTTTCATTTTAATATAATGAACAATGATCATATCTAGGTTGGAAGTTTAAGTATCCACTCAATTAAACATGACACCAAATCTTACTCTGAATATTTAAAGTGTATAAATCATCAAAAATCTCAAAGTCATTTGTTCCGCCAAATATAATTATGCATTAACTATTTTGATCGTAATTCATACTAAAATTTCTTCTTGCCTTTGGTTATTATCCAATTGTCTATACGACATTCACTTACAACTAATTTCCTATCACTATCTAAAGCAAATCACTATTGAAAACGTCTTCCTAATCCTTCCCACCAAATAAATATATGCCATTCTCCTTTTCCTCAAAATATTGGTTCTTTTTCTGCACACTTATCACTTGATGATAAGCCAATCCATTTTTCATAAACTACTTTTATAATTGAGTTGATTTCATTGTACTCAAATTGATGCTGTGAATATCCCCAAAATAATTAGGTTTTGTATTCATGTCTTCAAATCCTCCAATCACAATCAACTAATTATCCATCAGAGTTGATGTATGATTCCTTCTTGGAGGAATCCCGTTTATTACAAATTACTGCACTTGATGATTTTGTATCTTGCTTAAAGTATTACTTTATCTTCTAACTCCCTAGATCCTTTCCCCTCCAAAACAATAAATAGTCTGCTCCTCAGTGTCATAATTGATGGAGAAATGACTTCCTAATTTTGTATTGCTTTCCTTCATCCTGCATTTCAAGCATTCCCAATCTTGAAATTGCTATTTCTACAACCATTATCCATTTTACAAGTCTATAAAATTGAATTCCAAAGATTCTCTGTGAGAATGTCCTCCCATCACTATTCCCAAATGATTTGACAATTCTATTGATCTGCAACCCTGTCTTGTTTCTGGCATTGTATATTTGTATTCATTCTGCAAAGGCAAAATCACAGTTGCCTTGGTGGAAGTCGTATACAGTGCTTGAACAGGAGACTAGGCAAATTTCAATTTCATTGGTCTTTCAGGACTGGGAGTAGTTCTTATTCGAATTTATTTTGAAGGAGTTATTGTTCTAACTTGATCATACCTTCTTTACCATTCGGATTGCATACGCTACTAAAATAACGTAATCATTTATCTACTCCGATTTAATTAACTTTGAATTGTTGATTATTTCATTTATTATGTTTCTAACATTGTTACTAGGCTTATTGTGCGAAGCCAAGAGCGTCACGTATCAAGTTCGGAGACATTCTACCATTATGGACCCCATTCATGATATACATCAAGTAGAATACAGAGTGGAAATGCAGTTCGGATCAATGAAATAACAGATGGAGCTGATTATAGATACTGGGTCTTCAGATCTATGGGTTCCATCAGTAGAGGCAAAAGGATTCTATAATTATGGTACATATCTAATAAGAAATTCTTATTTTAGTCAAGCGATATGATTGTAGTGCAAGTTCGACTTGTATTAATACTGATTCCAGTTATTCAATTTACTATGATGATGGTCCCATTTCAGGTACATTGGCTTGGGATTAAGTGTGGATCCACAACATCAAATTTAATTAATCCTTTCTATTGATTGAAAGAGCAAATGGAAATATTGCATCCAGTGGAGGCATTCTAGGACTTGGATTCAATTCTATTGCAGCCAATCCAAATCCATCAATCTTGGAATCTCTTTATTAATAGAAACTTATCTCCAAAAAATACTTTTCTTTGTATTTGAAGGATGAAGGAGAATATGGTAGTTATATTCTATTTGGAGGCATTGATATGCAATTTGCTTAAGAGGGTTAACAGATATCTTATGTACCCCTCATGTCCACATATCAATATCTGATTGGAATAGAAGGAATGTCCATAGATGATGATTTGTTTAATATTCCAACAGCCCTCGTGGACAGTGGAACAAGTTGCCTTACTGTTCCAGCAGTTGCAATGGATAACATGTTGGACGTATTTGAAGAAAAAGGAGTTCATTGTTCATACAGAGTTGAAAGTTATGCCCCTTCTTATTGCACTGTACATTGTTTAGTAACTGCAACAAGCGAGTAAGGAATTATCGAAGCATTTCCTGTAATAAAGATTAGAGTCAATAGTTCTTTGGAATTATTATTAAATCCTTAAGATTACATCTATTGTATGATTTTGACAATATATTGATAGCTTGTACAATATTAGATGGCAGTCAATCGAGATGTAATACGAAACTGGAAAGATCAGAGATTGATGACATTTTATTGTTAGGTGATGCTTTTTTGCATAGCTATTACACTGTTTTCGATCAAACAGATAAACAGATTGGATTTGCACATTCAATAAATAATAAGGGTTTAAAATTACATGTTAAAACAAGACATCTATCTAATTATGCTCTAATGTTAATTATTCTATAGGTTGGTTTGTTATTCATTTTATGATATATTTCAAATTTTATTAAGTAGATTAATTTTAATAATAGATAATTAAAAAATATGTATATCTTTATATGAATTTAATCAATCTTGAGAAATGGGTATCCAAGAGGAATCAGAACGAGAATAATTAAGATAGATTAAAACTAGAATTCCAATTTTTAATTTGAGTGAAATTATTAGACAACATGATTTCTGTTGATGGTAACTCTAAATTAAACCATCTTATTCTTACAGCTTTATTCATATTTCAAATACAAAAATTATAAATTTCATTTAAGTGATTTCTTTTTGTTAAGAAGAGTGCATTTTATTTTATTTTTATGATATTATAATTATCTATGACTTAAAACATCAGACCATCTCTTATAAAAATCATTCCTTTCATCAGGAGAATACTCAGTGCATAAAGTGAGTTATTTTTTATGACTTTTCTTCTTTACATCCTATAATGTATGAGAAGTATGATAGGTTCTTTTGGTCGTCAAAGTTGTAGCAGTATTAGTATTATCTATTTTTAATAATCTCTTCAAGTTTTATGACTGTAGCATCTACTACTTTTACTTTTAAATCAAATTTGCAATTCCGCTTTTATCATAACGAAGTGGTTTGATTTATTTCAATAGCTATTGTAACTGTCTTGAAGTTTAGAGTTCACTGAGACCTTTTAGAGCCTTAAATGGATATATCATATCATCTCTTGTTGTATCTTTGACCTACATTCCTAATTATTTCTTTATTTTCTTGTATTTGATTTCTCTTTGTTTTTCGTGATAATTTTCTAGTTAAGATGTGATACCCTTGATGAAAATACGAGGGATGTCTCTATGATATCGATAATATTCAGTAAGTTATTTTTGATTATCCTTAAGATGAGGCTATGTATGATACCTAAATTACTAGAGCTTATACAATTAGATATACTCTTCCGATTCTTCAAAGCAGACTTGATCTTGGAATTTAATAGTGGATGGACTCCGTAATTAAATTTACCAAAAATCAGTTTGATACTTGGAGGAAAGAGCCTTGAATATTTTTCATGTTTACCATATTTAGTAATTCTGCCAGATTCCTTTTATGTTCACAGAACATGCAAGAGAATTACATTATTATTAATTTAATATCATGGAAATTTAGTGTTATTCATAATGTTCATAGAAACAAACAAGTATTCCACAACAAATCCTGGGAGCTGGTTATCCTCTAAGTCTTCATTCTCATTATGACTACTATCTAAATTGACAAGCGAAGGTCGAAACGTGCTTGTCTTCACAACGAATTTGTCTGTAACATTCAATCTATTCTACTAAGTCTTCTAACCTCTTAAAGAATCCTAAGAGTTCTGACTTAACAAATAGAGAGATCTGATTCCAGCCTATTTGGTCATCTGAGAGCCATCAACTGAATTTGTTCGATAAGCATAGTCTAAGATAGGATTCAGAGCTCTCAAAGATTGGATGACTTCATTTAAGTTGATCCTATTCTTAGGGTTTTTTTAAAGCATTGCTTTGACTAGAGCAATGACTTTTTGACTCACATTCACGAAACAATACTCGCTAAAATCAATTTCGCATAATTTATTTGCTCTCATAATGTTCTCCTGATTGTGTCCTCTGAATGGAGATTTGCCAGTCAGTAATAAGTAATAAACTACTCCCAAACTGAAAACATCTCCTACTTCAGTGTATGGCTGATCCTAGAAGATCTCTGGAGCCATGTAACCAATAGTTCCTTATCCTGAAGTGAGGACTTCTCTATTTATTTGTTCTGCAAATCCAAAATCAATTATTTTGATCTAATCCTTGTCCAGCAATACATTCTCAAGTTTAATATCTCTATGAACATACCCTAAACTAAATTAATCATGCCATTTACCTATGAAGACATTGCAATCCTAAGGCGATTCTCAATATGATTCCGTTGGCTTCGACTTCCTGGACTCGAACTTTCTCCTTAAGCAATTAATACAGGGATCCGCTCCTTAGTAGTTCTGTTATCAGAACTATTAGAGATTCATAAATTGCATACTTAGTTGTTCATCCAATTGAATGATTTCAAATAAGTTTATAATGAATGGAGAATTTAACTTTTTGAGGATTTCGCATTCCTATCTTATCAAATGTGATATTTAAATGAGGTTCTTTTTCGAATTTACTTCAACTTTATTATATACTTTCCCAGCATAATATTACTATTAATAAGGTAGTCTATTCACTGGACAGAGTTGATACACTTTAGAATATCCCCCTTTTCCCAGTAGATCTTAGAATGTGTAGAGTTGTTCGAAATTCTAACACACACAAAACCCAGCTATTCTCTTAAAATATTAGAATGTCTTCTAACTGTAATCAGTTAAACAATTACAAATCTTAATTCCAAAAACATGCGTAGACTCTCTGATTTCTTTTTATTCGAATCACCTTTACTACATCGTGTTCTCTTTGAGGTAGCTTTAATTCTATGAGTTTAACACTCATCTACGTATTCAATTGCACCCATCTCAACGAATTCTGTTTTTAATAGTAAAACTAGCCCTTATTGGTAAGGATATATGTTCGTTCTTTTATGATGATGTTTTTCTGGTCTGTTTTCATTAACTTCTCAGTCATTAAAATATTCTGGTCGACAACACCTTCATTCCTATTCCAAAACTTGGTGCATGGATCGCATTCTGTGAACACAGGCCAGCTAGAAGTATACGACATTTTTAATAATTGACTTTTTAATTATTTGCTTTGAACTAATTTAAGATTTTTTTAAATGAACATATCATACTAACACCTTGGAATTTGATTAATCAATTCTAAGATTGATAACTACTCAGACATCTTCAAATTTTATTCAATCTTTCAAAAGACAATCTTTGTTCAAAAATTATAATTTAACTTTTCATTCGATTTCTCCTCCCCATTTTTATCAACATTTCCAATATATATATAAATATAATGAAACTAGTTAATTAATTATTTTTATTCTTTATATTATTATAATTATATATTTTATTTTGTGCATTTTCATTAATCATTTGAAGCTTCTATTGTTTTCATGATTATTATATTATCTGAGCTATTCTGATGTATACAATGCTTAATTTTGTCTCTCCAGTCTTCTGAATATCATTTAGGCTCTTCTGTCACTATCTGGACATGCTTCCTTCCAAAATTGATGTTCTCTTCCACAAAGTTTGCGATTGACTGGATTAATAATTCAATTACCATTGGTCGAATTCTCTCTATCCAAACATTCAAAATAGTCCTCCTGAGCAGTGAAGCATGTCTGGGCATTCCAAGACTCACCACCATATCGTGAAGGTGTCAATAATGCATTTCCATTATAACTCATGATGGTTTAATAATAAAAAATATAAATTAATTATAGTGTTTGCTCAGCAAATCAAATTATTTTGGTCGTAATGATTCTCCTAATTAACAATTAACGATTATGCTATGGTTTGGCTTTTCGATTGACTCTCAGCCAGATGGAAACATAATCTACATGCTGGTTTGTAACAATCCTCACCACCAATCAATTCAACTAAAATTAAATTCATTTAAATACTCTCTTGTGATTATACTATTCTTTTAGTGAATGATGCATTTTCTCTCTTGCAAAACCAACAGACTGCTGTGAGTTTGGTTATGCGCTCAGCCAAAGGAATTAGGTTTAAGATGTTATGAAAAGGTTTTCTGTCAAAGGTTCCATCCAATGCTGCCACAATTACAATCTTCCCTAAATTTGCCATCTTCTCACTAAATTCAACAATCTACACATTTTGTTAGAACATTTTACATCTGTAAAGAATTAACCCTCATCGATTGCTACCACATCGCTTTCCTTGCACTTCTCGTAGGCTTCATTCAATTTGCATACTTTTATGGCTTTCAAAAATTGTCTTAGTTATAAAATAAACAGCATACTTGTCATGACTTGAAATACATTATTCCCCTGAGTATCTGTTATCGTTTGCATAATTTAACACTACACACTTCCTTTCAGAAATTGTAAATCTCTTGACCAATCTCATTAGTTCACTTGTTTTACCAGAAAACTGAAATATTATATTAGATTTACCATTGGACCATAGATGACTGAAATTGTGCCTGTGTACATAATAAATTGCAATTAAATAAATGCTCTTATAAAATAAATTATCTTAAGAATTACAATTCCCGCTTCTTTGACAAATTAAAATATAACTAAAAATAAGAAATAAATTATAAATTTTAAATCTCCCTAAAACTTATTTAATATAATACCTACCTATTAGAAATCATATAGAATCTCTTACTTTAAATGAACATTATCAAATTATTGATCTTTATATATATCTAATTCCTTTTATTTGTAACAAAAGTGAGCATTGTTTATTTACTACCTATTTAAGTTCTTCAAGTTTCTTTTAATTTAAAAAGTAATTATATTTGCCCAATAGATATATAATAACTATTGGACAAATATGTATATAATTATATCCTTTAAACATAAGTACAAGAAGTAATTGTTATTCTTATTTAATTATAAATATTTGATTGTATTAAATAAAGAATGAATTTCAATGATTAATCTATATGTACAGTTTTACATGGTCAATTACAGTGATCTTAGTAAACGATTGAAATAATTTCAAGTCCCAATAGATTCATGCCAATAAACATATTAACACAATACTTTTGTTCAGATTTAGATATACTTCTTAATGCTTTTAATTTAATTTGATTATTTATAATTAATGGGAGTTTGTACTTCTTCATCTGCAAAAAATGATCAGAAATAAAAGAAACCTTAACCAGAAACCAAACCAGATCAATAAATTTCATTGGTTTCGGGGTAGAATAACAATACAAATTAATTGCAAGATCGTAATTTGAAGAACAAGGCCATAATTCCACAAAAAAACCTATCCACAAATCAAACAACAACTCCTGTATAAATTAATTCAACGAAAAATGGTACAATGATCATCAGGAGAGCTTCTCATGCTACAACTACTACTACAAAAACTATGATTGTTTAATCTTCTTAGTTATATGAGTAACCACTAGCAAAGGGATCATCGCCATTTAATACTCAAAATAAAAGAAACAGCGTAAGATAAGGAACTAAGACTCTTCAAGTGACTGCCTCCAAAAATTACTCAATTGTATCAAGCAAAATTCTAGGTATAATAAGTGCTATTAAATAGCAGAAAATTAAGGCAAAACGGTAATGCAGCATAATGAAACAGGTCAATTGGTTTAGGTAGAGGTACTTAAATTTGATCATAAGAATCGATAATACATTGATAAATTAGAGGAGATTAAATTGGTAAGCAAATTAATAACATAGGATAATATTAACATTGTAAAAATTATTGACATTCTTGTTGATCACCAGAAAAAATCATATTAGGTAATGTATGAATGTTGTCCTGGAGGTTCTTTGTCTAAATATGTCGAAAATCGCAAGTATGATAACCAATAAATCGGAATCATATTTTATTAGATGATAGAGGCACTAGGATATATACATTCTTTAGGATTAAGTCACGATGAATTGACAATCAATAGCTTCTCAGTCTTTGATGATTCCTCCACACCCTTTATCAAGTTATCTGATGTTCGAAGCATCTACCAATTAATGTATCTAAAAGAGGCTCAATGTTATGAAGATCCAATATCCTCTAAGCATTAGCATCGCAGACATTCTAATAAACATTTAGACCCAAATCCTATTGAAGTTAAGAGCAGGAATAAATGCAATGATGTGTGGGCATTGGCTGTCATCATTCTCTAATTGAGAAACAAAGAAATACCATATACTATGTAAGATATTCAATCATTCAAACCTGAAGAATATTTAAGTAACTATCCTTCTGAGATGAATTCACTCTTGCTTGAGATGCTAAACGTCAATCGGCAAGAGAGAATCACTCTAAAACAATGTTTGGAACACCCATTCTTGGTGAAGATGAAACAGGTCTAACCGTAGGATTTGTTGCAACCCTTAAAGAATATGATTAAATGCAAGAATATGACTTATTTACACAGATGTGTGTTTTGGTATCTTCTTCAGAACTATGCCAATGATCATTTGAAAGTTTTGACTAAGTTATTTATAACAGCTGACATTAATTCAGATGGAAGTTTGGGTTTAGAAGAATTAAAAGAGCTATTCTCGTTCGAAGGGAAGGATTTGATCGATCAATTAAATCTTCAATAGGAACTCAATTTAGATGATTTTCTACTTCTTGCTTCCAATAAAGATGTTATCTTAACCTAAGACATTCTGGAATCTAGTTTCAAAATTCTATCTAGACAATCGAATCTAATCACTCTGAAATCATTATTAAGAGTCTTAGATAATTTCAATGAATTATAAATTCAATAAGATTTTAAATCATTCAATCTCAATGATGGTGTAAGAATATTATTCATATTTCATCTAGCTAAATCTATAAGAGTACAAGGAATTTATAATTAATTATGAAACTCCAAATCCAATAATTTGATAATCAAGAGTCTTCATTTTATTAAACATAATATAAAAAGCCAGTTTTAGATGCTTTTCATATTATTAAATTTATTATAAAAGAATTTGTTATGACAGAATATTTTACACCATCCTTTATTAGTAACTCATCGTGTACAGAAATGAAAAACCCATCCAATAAAATTGATAATTTTCTATTTGGAAACAAACTTAAGAAGATATAGAAACTAAATAAAAAACAGCTGATTTCAAATTTAGATCATTTGAGAATCGTTCAATCCATCATTCTAGGGATGAGAATAAATAGCAATACTTTAAATCAACCGTAAGTGAATCAGATTCGATTAACATTTAAACATATCGAAGTAACTTCCAATTGCAACATAATAAATTGATATTCTAAAAACCATGTTGCTAAATAGAAAATAACTTTACAACTCTGCTACATCTTGAAATCTTAATCTCAATCTAAATCTCAACCACTCAATGAAAATAACAATCAATTTAATTATTATTCTATAATTAGATCCAAAATATAGAACTATCAAGTAGGCTGTATTTAAGAGGATGCATCATTCATATTGAATTATAAATAACGATAAGAATCAGGAATCTCAACAGAAATTGCTTCAAAATTGCTGACATCATCTAAAGGGTTGCTGACATCATTTGGTGGAACATATAAATTTTTATACTTAAATTGCATGATTTACTCACTTCTATTGAATAGGGATGATTAATAGTACTTTATGGAAAGCTTGAGTGTATTTAATCATAGTTTTCTGAAAGAGTTAAAAGATGAAATATAGGTAGATCTGTTATGTGAGAGTGAATTAATAGTTAAAAAGTTGTGCATTTGGGAAGATAATACTAGTTCAATCTGGTTCATGGATGGGTGATATTGCTGTTTATAGAAATTAAGACTCTCGGGAATTCATCGAAGCTTCTTTTATTCTACTGGATTGTACCATAATGAATAGAAATTCAACTAACTTTTCAATGACATCATTTGGATATATTAATGAATACTGAGAATATTGATGAAAATATCCAGAAAAGGATGAAATTGTTACAGAATGATGACAGATTTGTGAAAGTACATGGTAAAGGAGTTTGTTACAATAGACTCTATAAATATTAATTAGAAAATGGATACAATTTTGATCAAATTAATATGTGAATCATAAATTAAACATGTTAAAAAGCTATTAAGGTGAAAGATTAAAATGAAAAAAGCTTTTATATTTATTGGTTAATCTATACTCAATATTATCATCAAATCGGTTTATTTGGATACTCATTTTTTTTGAATTATTATACAGTTTTTTCTGGTGCCCCTTCTTTTAACTTTAAATTCATCAACTAACTTCTCTCTCTTTTTAATTCCATTCTCTGAGTAAATCACCAAGACTGAAGGGTGAAAGTCAACTTTCTTGGTGTTCTCCAGAGAGATAGTTCTTTTTATAAGAGGAGTGCAATTATCTCCTGATTCGGTCACAAAAGGAGTAATTTTGGCCAACTTTAATGATGGCCTCATACTCAATTTTCTTTGAATTATAGGTTGTGCAGGAGGAATGTTGCCTGCCAATTTGAAGTTCAAAAGATCTTAAATTGTGTGTTATCTAGTTATTTAATTTTTAGGTTCACTTTGAATTGTTAAGGAAGGGCGATATCTTCTTAATTGAAATGGAACCTTTTGAGTATTCTCTAAAGAATTTAACAAATTTAGCATTTTTTATTAATGATATAATCAATTAAATTTCATTAAAACTCATTTTAAACTACCAGAATCTAATTCATAATCGTCTCATATTATGCAAATTCTAAAGGAATGCAATCCGTCTATTATATAATATTGAGAGAGATACCTCGTAGTAAAGTTGATGATTCTTGAATTCCTCTGCCATATCCTCTTCTGAAATATTGAGTATTTTTGACAAAGATTTTACAGTAATTTCTTAACTTTTGTTAGCTAACTTCTTAAAACTATGATGGATATTGTGATGAGTAATGTACAGAGATTTATTAGAAATCATCACAATGAAATCCTCCAATCCTAATTCCACTTCTTTGGCAATCAAATTCTATATGACTTTGATGTTCATATCCTATCCTTAGGCTTATTTAAGTTTTCTTTCAAATTCCTACAATTCTGCTGCATTCAACTTTCCATCCTTGTCCTAATCCAATAAATCGAAAATCCTATGTGCTACATTGTGATGAGAGTGTTCATAGTGATTTATTAGATAAATCATGAGCCATCTCTGCAATTTGCTATTGAATTCCTCAGTAAATTAGTTTTTGAAATAGCAATTCAAGTTTTTATTCTAATGCTTTACAATAAACTCATGTTTCTGACATTCCTCTATTTTACTTCTTTAATTTTTATCAGAATGAAGCATTTTTTAAATTAGATCCTCAAAACATTAAGACACCTCATCCTTTATGATTTTATTGCTTGTCCACCTCAGGATTGCCGATTTGACTTCTTGGATAGTAGTCAAATCTTGATCCCTTTCATAAATGAAATTTCTGGTCATTAATTGATAGGCAATAATTCCTAAGGACCATATGTCACTTGACTTATGAGGATGATGAAAGTGGGTGGATAGAGCTTCAGGAGAAGCATATTAAATGATTTGAAGTTAAGGTTCTCGTAGAGGTTTATGTAAACTCCTGATATCAGTCAACTTAATCAAATAATTTTACAAATCGTAATAAAAAGAAAAACTATCTATTGTCAACTTATTGTGAACCAACTTATTTGAGTGTAGGAAATTGATGATCTCAAATATTTAATCCATAATGTTACTAACTACCTACTCTGATAGCTTGCTGTGCAATAACTGGGATAGAGGACCTCCTGTGCAAAATTCACTAATTATCTAAAATTGTTTTCCAAATATAAAGATTTCATGAATCTTTCCAATATGATAGAATTCCTAATCAAAATCACAAATAATGAGTACCAAATTGGTTTTTTGGAGCCATTCAATATAATCCTTTCCATCTTAATCATATGGTAATTGTTCCATAATAACTACTTATCCATCGCTGTTGTGCTACAATACACGAACGGTCGATTTATCGGCAATCTTGACATTCCCCTTATAAACAGAATAGTCTTTAGAAGCAATTGAGTCAGTGACTTTAATCTTAAGTTGAGGTGCCTTCTAAACTATCTTCCTGTTACTTCCTATGGACTTATTAAGTAGATTTTACTTTATTTTTGTACTGTGGATGGTTTATCGGGTTTGTATTCAAAATAACTCAAAGTGCCTGCTTTTTTCAATTTTCTTGAGGCGGTTTGGTTTTAATTTATCCTCTATTCGCTTATTATAGGAATGGTTTCTCTTAGGGTTTGTTGAACGTCCACAGTGTTGGTCAAAGCTGGATTAAAATTATTCTTGGAGCCGCTAGTGCTTTCACACTTTTTGGATGAACTACAAACTCCCATTAAATAATTAAACAAAATTAATTTAATTCAAAATAGTGTATTTCTGAATTTATTTATATACATTTATCCATATCCATACACAAAATATTAATAAGTTGTTATGTAAATATATAAGAATATCGTTAGATAAGAAATAATATTATTAATAAAATTTTAAATTTTAACTTATTTGATATGAAGGCATTCTAAAATATTTTACTATTACATTA